TGTGCGTAATATAGTATTTCATAGTCACTTTAACAATGCAAGGATATTTATTAATAAATAAAAAAGAATCTCAAGGTTTTTATTTTTCTCTTCGAGATTGTTTGTGAAATTTAAGAGTCCAAGATGATTACATAGATACCTTCGTAGTCTCTTTCAAATGGAGGACATATTGAAAAACTTGCACCATTAAAATCAAAACATGACAATTTACAGGTAAATATATTAATATTTTAAGTAATAAAAAAACCATTGATCATATCGATTTCGATTTTATCTGAATTCTGGTATTTGATTACGACATCGAATAGAATGGTCAATATGGAAATAGATGATTTGGAATTTTAAATCTAGTTATTTCATCATGAGAATGATAGGAAAAAGTGTATGTGTCTGAGATCATCAAGATTAGGAAGGGGGACTACAGTTGTTGCGAAGATCGATGAAAAAAACAAAAAGAAACAAAATTCGTACAATTTTGCTGGAAAAAATCCAAAACTTTTTCCAAGATTAAAAGGAATCAATCTACATATGAAACACCACTGCGAAAAAGATAAACATGAAAATTTTCATCAACATTGTTCATCTATAGTATTTTTGATAGAGAATTGCATAATATATGATAAAAGAAAATTTTCATGCGTAATAAATTTTATTCTCGATTGTAATCGTAAAGCATCGTTTTGTTCAATTTTCGAAATTTATAATATTAGATATTTTAAATAATAAAATTAATTAAAAAACTTCGAAGATCGAAGAATAAAAAATGATATGTCAAAGAAAATATAATCATGTATTTAATGAATATAAAAAAGTCAATGAATATTCACAATAAAACGGAGATGGTTGTTAATTTTGACCGATACGCTTGTAAAAATGCTTTTTTTTCTCAAGGTAACTGTTATTTATACCCATGATATCAAGATTTGATAAAATCATAAAAATATATCGTATTTTAAGACTATATTTTGATTAATTAAGAATATTACAGTTCAATGAGTTTAACAATAATTAAACGATTATTTATATGTATAATATTGAATTTTTTGTTCTAAAAAAAGAAAGAAATTTATTTAATAATTGTATATCTCGAACAAACAAAATATGTGTACAGTTCACAAAATATTTTCGTGCTAGACAACATTATATTTATGTCAAAATCGTTTCTTTTTCTGTTTCGAAAATACTTATATATACAGGTATTATTTACTACAACTTACTTGATTACAATACGTGTCACATTTTCAATAGATTGTTAGCAACAATCTGTCTCATGATAAATGAGACACGATATGTCATAATTGAAAATATATGAGGCTTTTTATTTTGTGTGTGTGAATTATTACAGTATATGTTTCAGTGTGTCTGTAACCTTCATGTCTGTTATACGAACGAGTGATGTGTCAAAACGAAGATACACTATGAAAACTGAATATGAGTCGTATAGATTTTTAACAATGAATTAAACGAGAAATTGAAAATATGTTCAGATTTCCTTTGTCGGAAATCTGAAAAATTTCCATCAGTTCGATAATTACATAGCAGTGCAAATCAAAAGTTTGCAGAAATATTCGAAATTTCAAAAATTACATTATTTTGGGCAGTATCAAGCAATTTGGAACATAAATACTTGAAATTTCCGAAACTTTCCAAACATCCGTTTTTTTTGGAAAATTGAACACTATTGCAAAAAAAGTCATAAATGTGAATTTATATCTATAAATTTTGACCATCTGAGCTTTAGTTCCGAAAGAAATGAATATCATATTCAGAAGCAGCGGAAAAAATTTGCATCGAATAATATACTCAAAACTAATTTTTCGTCAAATTTCGACGTCAGAGGAAGCACAGGGCTTAGTATTCGAAAATAGCAGTGAAGGGAATGTAAAGGTCGAAATTTGGCGAAAGCTAATCTCGACGCGGGACTTAAAGGTACTCGGTTAAAAATTGAATAATTCGAGAACGCAAGCACCTAGTGAGCTGCAGTTTTCAGCTATCGAAAGAGAAGACATGGGAATCTCTTTTTTTCTGATAATATATAGAACAAAATCATTTTGAAACAAATAGTTCCCACAAAACGTTTAAATAAAATTTTGATTTTCCCATGCTTCCTAGATGGAGAAATTAGAAATTTCTAGTTCAAGAAACAATTTGAATGAGAATCTTCTCAGACTCTAATGCTGAACAGCTTGTTATCAAAATTTCATCGGAATGACAGACTATTTCCATATATCTTTTCGAATGTTTAGCGGAAATCATTGCTTTCAAAATAATTTTGTCGTATATATTATCGAAGAAAAAGACATTTCCATGTCTTCTCTTTCAAGTATTGAAAACTGTAGCTCACTAAGTGCTTGCATTCTCAACGTATTCAATTTTTAATCCAGTACCTTTAAATCTTGCGTCGACATTGGTTTTGAGTATTGAATATACTATTCGATGTAGATTTTTACGCTGATTCTAAATGTGATATTCGTTTCTTTCGAAACTGAAATTCGAATTATTAGAATCTATGAATACCAACTCGTATTTATGACTTTTTTTGCTATCATCTAGAAAAAAATAGATTTTCTCAACAATTAAACAATATTTTTCCTAATTCTATAGCGAGTAAAATAAAAAAAAACGATTCGGATAAATGTAAAGATTACCAAGACGTAATTCTTTTAGCGTATATAAATTTCGATAGGCTTTTCTGATTTTTCTAAATCTAATTTTCACTATAAAAACAACATTCCTATTGATAGCTCGATGAGTTCTATTCAACCATGACAGAAAGACATCAAAAAAATTGTTTCTCAAATTTCGAATTGCCGGCACCTTATCATAAAATTGACTGCTTGTAAAAACAGAATGAGTGATCATCTATTTATCTTAGTATCGAAAATATTTGAAAAACGATTTTTTCTTTTGTAATTACAGACAAAAAAAAATGTATTGTTCAGATACTATCAGTTGAAAATATTTTCGGAATGTCTTTAGTATATATATGATCGATATATTGTTTATAGAAGAAGTCAATATCAAATCGAATGTTCCTTGATGATCATATCTGGTTTTTTTTCTTCTTTATAAGAAAAACGAAATCATACATTGTAACGATTAATCAGTAAATGAGCTTTTCTCTTTGATATTCCATACATATGTACAATGATATCGCATAAATTTATACCAAATATACACATATGTATATGTACTGAATGTAGGTCACCAGAGAGCTATTGTCCTTCATCTTTTTGCACTATTCGATCGAGCAACTGTCAAGATAAAGAAAGAATAAGTAACTAATTCTATGTGCATTTTCTTTTTTTAGTTACATAAACAAAATTCTTTTTCTAGTGATTATTGATCATCACCATCATTAATTTAGTAAAATAATCAATGCATATATTCGAATGTGTTAGTTATTCAATTGAGCAAGTCACATTTTAATAGACTGAAATTATAAAAATTGAATGATATGTATCTAAATGACGTTGAACACAAATAAAATGCATCTGCTTCACCTATATGTACTTATGGAAATAGTGGCGGTTTATCTCAAACAATCACTTTAGATCGAATAGTCATTGTCTGTTGACCTTATCAAATCTATTGATCGAACACGAGAGAGAGAGAGAGAATGAAAGTAAGAGACAATCGTTTGATGTACTCATGTCCATGATTGCATATATACCTTCTTCCGATCATAAATGATAATTTAGCTGCTTGTTTTACTGAGGTGTCACTTATAACAAATATACAACTATATACAAGTGGATAATTGATTGAAAAGTAGTAAGTTTAAGTGAACAATTTAATTGATTTGATAACATTGACAATTTTCTTGTGTATATAGACACACTAAGATAATTCATCTGTAGCAAATTTACAATTAACTAATTAGATTACTATAAAAATTAAAAAACATGTAGATTAGATTTGAAAAAGAGGGATAGAATGCAGTGAAGAAATGAATCTTATACTACAACATGGTACTTTTAAGACAAGTTAATAATTATAATAAAGTATCCGTGAATAAAAAGTTGAAATCGAATATGACGAAAAAAAGTGGAATGAACTATGTTCATGAAATGAATTTGTTATTCATATTTTTAGTACATCTATCATCATTTTTGTTTCTTAATTCTTGTAATCACCTGGTAATATATGCATCACGAAGAGTAACTTGACAGGAAACAAAATTTATCGATTGGCTTACAGAAAAATGTAATCGACCAATGTTTTATTTTCCTTGCCTGCATTATCACATATATATATTTATGATGTTTTTTTTCTTGTTTAATGGGCCTGAAACTAGGTCATATTCAGGGAGGTCGACAGGAAGAAGAAAACAGAAGAAGAAGGTAAGCATATAAAGTTTCTCATGTTCAGTATATTCTCAGAGAAAAAAAATGTATCTGTTCATTACATTATCTGTAAAAAACCTTCTCGACATATACAGATATGGGATCTGGATAAATGGTGCATAAAATTCTTGACCTCGAACTTCGTTTTATCGAGATAATACATTTGATAAAAGAAAATTGATTTCTTTTTTTCTGATGAATTCATTCCATATTCAATAACAATGCTGTAATCAAAATCAAAGTTTCAATTTTGATCACAACTATATCAACTGATTTTGTTTTTTTTTTATGTATACGAGCAATTAACTTAAGATGAAGTGGACCATTACTAGTCGAAAAGAATTCACTTGCTTATTTAAACACATTATCCTAGTGTCCTGAAAAAAAAACATCTGAGTATAATCTATGTAGTCAAAAGTAGTGTGTGTATCACATCTCAAAAACACATGACACTCATGATCAATATAATATGATCTTTATGGGAGCATGTGCATCATTGAAAATGGGTGGATGATACATATATATATATATATATATATATACATATATTGATCAATTCATATAGGAAAAAAATGAATACATCACGACGATAGTTAGAAAAAAAGAAATTAAATTATTTCTTTTTTATGTAAATAAGAAATTGTATTGAAGATGATGCAATATGGTTTTACTAATGATTTGGATATGGAACAAAATATTCATTCATATCCAATCTATCAACAACAGCAACAACAACAACAACAACATAAGTATTGTGGAATTTAATTAATAAAAATAAATCGATGATAATATTTTTTTTTTAGTTTTTTAAAATCATCTGTGTCGAATAATAGTATGATAACAACAAATGATATTTATCAATCATCATTATCAAATAGTAATACAAATTATCAATCTTTTTATTTTCCTTCATCAATTGATTTTGATAATTCAAATCAATATCATTCAACAGATAATTATCATTTCGATTATCAATCATCATCTGATATTTCATCAACTCACCTTACGGATTCATATTCAAATATATTTTCAAATAATTCTTCTATAGATCCATATTCTACTCAAACAGTATATAATTCGACATACATGACGCCAACAGATTCATATGAAACTCATCATCCAATATATACTCATTCGAATACTGCTGTTCCGTCGACATCATCCATTGGTATACAACTTAATTATCAATCAACAATGTCACAATGGAACTTAGATAGAATGAAAATGTCTAGTCATGATGGTATGTATATAAACTTCATGGTGTTCTACATCCAGAAATAGATGTCTATACAAAAAGAAAATGTCCATCTCTTTATTTTTAAAGTTATATCAACATCGAATCCTAGTAAACAACCATGTCTTGTATGTCATGAAGAATCGTCCGGATATCATTTTGGTGCATATACATGTGAATCATGTAAAGCATTCTATCGACGAGTAACTAAAGGTAAAATAAAATATAGTAAATCAAAAATGAATTCATTTAAATCTTTGTTTCAATCATGTTATAACGTATGTGCCATAACTAATAATGCCATTTTTATTTCGTGTTTTTCTCGATTAGCTATTAGGATATTTCCTCCCATTTTCTGGAGTTTCTGAAGAACAGCTCATTAGAAAAATTTGAAACCTCAAAGACAGATAGATCTTGATGAGTAGAACACAGTGAAAAAGTTTCAGCTCGATCGAATGTACTAGATCGGAGAAACAAGGGCGTTTCTGCGCTTTTTTTTTATGGAAACCCGAATTTGAGAAAAATACAAACCAATGTACACTTTTCGCTAGTTTGATTTGTTCTCGAATTGTTTAATATTTAAAGACAATTTTTGGATTCCAAAATGTATTTAATAGATGGATACTTCTTCAGACTATACAATGACTACAAAAAACCAAAACTTTTAGGTCACGCAAATTTCTCTGTTAATCTTCTACGAAATTACATCGACATGTTTTATATAAGCTTTCAGCTAGGGAAACACAAAACATGTCAGAGAAAGTTTTTTGACGCACTTAACTGAGCTCGTTCTTGTCACATACAACGAAGTTGATTTCAATTAAGCATTAAAACAAAGATTGGCTTTATGAAACTACCCCAAAAGCAGCTAAAATTTGGCTTATTCTGCTAATTTCATCCAAATACAGAATTTGCTTTTCATTATAAGCTTTCGACGTAACGAACTACTACTCACACTATAAAAAGATTAACTCAGAGGATCAAATTTTTCGAAAACAATATGTTTACCCAAAGCAATGAACATTCATATGAAAATTGTTTGTAGACAATCGATGAGGAGCTGTTTTGAGTCTGATTACAAATTTCTACAATGAGATTGATCGAGAAAATCTTAAAATACACATAGTATCATCATGTGTGATTCACATCCATTATTATTGATTAAAAGAGAAAAGTAAATCTCTTTTATATCAATGAAGAAAACTTCAATCGGTTTTCATAAATACTTTAGTATTGTTTTTTTTTCCTCAATAGATCCAAACATTGAAATCAAACATTCTTGTGAAATTCCATTACCAAATATTACAAAATCAAATCGAAAAGATTGTCGAGCTTGTCGTAAAGATAAATGTGATCAAGTAGGAATGACAATTATATCAAAAGATCGTATAACACGAACAAAATCTCTATCAAAATCATCTTTAATATCAATAAATAATTTACTTGAACAACTTGCATATGATCTTACTTATAATCAACTATCAACATCATCAGCATTAGAAAATCTTCTTCATCTACTTGATTTACCATTAATTATTTCAATTAATTTTGATTATCATTCACTTTATATGAATGCTATTCAAATATGGAGAAATCAATATAATCATTTTTCACAAATATTTACTAATATATCATTAAATGATACATTTGCTGTACTACTTTTTCTTTTTTATTCTCTTATGATAATGAATGAAAATAAATTAACAAATAATATTAAATTTGATAAACTTATTCATATACTTCAACAAGAAATCAATCATATAACTGGTACAAATCATCGATTAGCTTGTCGAATAAAAGCTTTATTTATGAAATGTTATGTTGCACTTGCTCAATATTATCCAAATAGTACAAATTTATTTGATAGTAATTATAATTTACAATCGCAATCTATTCTTTCTTATCAACAATGTTCAAATCATGATTAATAGTAACTGTTTTTGTATTGTGCTATTGTGTTTTCTTTGTATTTCATTACATTTAATAGTAAAATATCTGTTTACAATAAAAGAGTAAAACGAAAATTTTCTTATAAAAATTTAGATCATACAATTTATTAATTTTTTTTTAGAACTTTATATTTTAGAGTTACGATAAATTGTACTAATCTGCTTATGATTAGCAAAAACAATTCTTTTTTTTTTAAAATATTGAATAACAATATTCTTATCAATCAAACGTCTTAAAACAGTGAAAGTACATTTGATCATGTAGTAGTTCTTTGTATCGCAGAAGTTCTAAAACATTTTAAAAATTTCCTCGTACTCGCTATAGCTTGTACTTTAGATGAGAAACTGTTGATGAATGGTGGTTACAGCTCATCAAACCATAAGATAAGGATCATCGTAAGAGAATGTGTTTTACTGATGTCATGATAATCAATTGTGCTGCAAAACTAGCTAACGTTTGACTTATAGAAAATATTTATGGTGCATTAAAAGAAAAATTACAAGGGCAGAAAAATACGAAGAATACAGAGGAATGAGAAATTTTAGTATTCCTTGATATCAACAAATGATAAATAAAATATCAATACTATTAAAATTACCAATCGATTAAAATGACAAGTTGATATATGTTTCTCTTTTGTATTTCGAAAAATTATTTCGATTTATAGATATTAGGAAAGAAAACCGAGAAAATAGTATATTTTTTATTCAGAACTTCTGGTGCGAAAGCCTGGCACAAAATTGTTTTTCTTATGTCTTCAATACCAATAACTTTACGGTTCGGCCCATCATATCAAGAAAAAGTATGAGCACAGATACTCTGAATATCAAAGCGAGCAAGCCACGTATGACCCTTTATCAGCGATTTTATGAAGTTATTTTCCGATTGACGAAAACATATCTTATACAGACTTCATATCGATTTCTGTCAGCTGTTGGCATAAAAGTTAAAACCAAATTTTTGGAAGAGCAGCAAATTAATATGGTACTAAAAGAAAAGTTCTCAGAACTATTCTTAGACACGTCCTATTGAAATGCTTTGATCGATTGTAGAAGAAAAGGTGTACACTAATGTTTGGGAAACTAAAACAATCGAACAATTGAAAAGAAGAATATGCCAACGGCTGAAAGAAATTGATATGAAGTCTGTATAAGACATGATTTCGTCAATCGAAAAATAACTTCACAAAATCGCTGATAAAGAATCATACACGGCTTGCCTAATTTGATATTCAGAGCATCTGTGCTCATACTTTCTCTTGATATAAGGGGGCGAACAGTACATCCATTGGTAATGAGGATATAAGAAAAACCAGTTTGTGCCAATACTTTCGCGTCATACGTTAATCAAAGCTAAAGAGTGTTTCATAGTAACTGAGGATAGTTTATTCATGACATTTTTCACACTTTTTCTTGGCCTAGAAGGCTGAAATTTTTATCATATGTATCACACAAAGATAGTTAATTTTCCAAAGTTTCTGATCTCTAGCTAAAACTGATGTTGAAATGCATAGACAAGATTGAAATACATGAATTTTTCTACTTAATATTTGTGGCTCTATTTCTTGAATAACGATATTGATAAGCATATGATGGAAAAACACTTTACAAGACAATTTTTTTTTCAAAAACGTAAATTATAATAAAACTCAATGCATGTGAATATGTTCTTCATTGTTTCTTACATCAACTGTAATTGATAAGATATTTTGTCCATCATTTTTGCATGTGTTTCTTTGAAAAATTTTCCCAATTCTTTTGCAATTTCTGTTTCTAACTGTAACGATTTGTTAAACACTTTTCCGTGAATATTTTTTCAGAATTTTCTGTCATTTTGCCAAATGTGAGTTTCGCCAATTATACTTTTTCACTGTTGTGCTTCCATATATCTTAACTGATTTAATTTGATCGCTTAGCATATCAAGTACTATAGTTGAGTTACAACTCAATTTATTCAAAATGGCGAATTTCTTCATGAAATTCGCCAATTGGCGAAACTACAATTCCCCTTTTTTCAGTGCATTCTACATGTTTTCAACTCTCTTCATACATCATCAGATCGAGCATCACTACCTATTGGTTCTATATGTTTATAAATATATTGTGTTACCAACTTTGCAGCAAATACTTCATGTTGCTTTGAGCCGTTTTAAATTCAATACAGACCATTTAAAATCCTTTCTATATTGGTAACTTATGAACATTTAAGATAAAACATGATATAAATGCATTTCTTTATAGTTAAACAACGCTTAGTCACTCTGTCGCAATTGAATAAGTAATAATAAAAATATTACAAAAATCAAGTAGAAAAATTCATATATTTCAATTTTGTCTATGCATTTTTGAGCACCAGTTTTTGCTAGAGATCTGACACTTTGGACAATTAACGATCTTTGCAAGATATATATGTGATAAAAATTTCAGCCTTTTAGGCTAAGAAAAAGTGTGAAAAAATGTCATGGACACATTATCCTCAGTTATTATGAAACACTCTGTATATAGAAGTATATAAATTTACTCAATATTAATTAATTTAAGAAAAACAGGAAAATTTTCAAACCGTTTAAGTGGTAAATCTAATAAATTTAGACAACTAGTTGAACATCAATTTGAATCTGTGTCTGAATTTTTAAGTAATGTTCGAATAAGTGAAGACTAAAATAAAAATTTTACATTACGAAAATCACTCTAGCTAACTGGTAAAGTACATGGATTTTATTATTTCCATGATGATGAATACTATTCGATAATGTTGAAATCGATGATAATGAAGACATTGAATCAATAAAATAAGATTGTGAACTATGATTACTAATACTCATTTCAAAAAAGAAAAAGAATAAGTATTTTCTGAATAACTTTAGATAGAAACTAGATAGAGAGGTTCGATTTTCACCGTTTAGAAGAGGAGATGAAACCGCACGAGTCGTCTGTACCAAATGTTTTTTAATAAGATTTCTCAGAGTCTAGTATCAAGTTTGTTAAACACGAAAGATTGTTTAAATGTAAAACTTTTACGATCTTAATTTTCAAGGGTGCACTAGAGTTGTTAACTGAAGATCTATAAATTTTGTAAGTCCGACGTTGTAAGCCTTAGCCAACCATGAGTTATATACATTTTACTGTGTGTTATTTGGAGATTTTTCATAAGAAAATTGACTTTTTTTCTCATTTTTTAACGAAAAACCCACCTTATAAACTTATTCAAAAGCCTAGGTTTTTTGAAAAAATTGGCGAGAGACTCTAAGAAAACTTGTCAGAAAAATCTGGTATAGACTGTTCGATGTAGTTTCATTTCCTCTTTTAAACAGTGAAAACTGAAGTTCTGTATCTAGTTTCTATCAAAAGTTATTCAAAAAATACTCAACCTTTTTCTTTTTTGAAATGAGTATTAGTAATTATATTTTCATTAATAACACGAAATACAAGTTGATATGTCTGACCTTCAATCGAAGAAAGTACTCCGAATTGTTCAGTTTCTTTAATAAAAAAAAAAAAATTTATTTACATAAAAATAGAGATTGTATCAATGCAGCTCGTTCAGGACTAAAATATAAAATGCATGAGAAATTAAATTTTACTCGTTTTTGCTTTTAAAATTACTATAATGTTCATATTTTTTCATCATGGAGTCTCTTTATTTCTTTCGGATGAGTTTTCCTCATCATCCCCGGAAAGGGTGTGAATATCGATTTTGGTCTAGAGAAAACTATTCCAGTGTTGAATCTTATCACATCTAAAAACTTCTTCAATATTCATTTTTTTTTATTTCTACGATTAAAATCATAGAATATTTAACTATAACCTTTAATTGCAGCTACGGCAACTGCTTTTCTCTTAGATCCCGGTAGAGCTCGTTGGGTATAGGTCTGATCTCTCATCGTTGCTATTCTTAAGGTAAAAGTCTATAATGACCACATTCCTAAACGATCACCATCAAGATACCTTGAGAAATGTGAAATAAATTTCAATGAAATATGATCAATATGAATCCGACAAACTTTCGAATTTTCGTCTGACATATCTCTAAAACTTACATTCATTCTATTTTTTTTTGAAAAGAAAAACGTAATGTGAGTTCCACAAAAAACAAAAACAGTCAATAATTTTACCATTAATTGTTAATGATAATAGATTAATATCAAATAAACTTTTAATATCGCTCAATTGAATAAGTTCAATATGTTTGTATGTTTTCATACCGAGTGTTTTTCACATATATTCAAGACAATCGGAGAAAAGGAACATTTAAATGTGTTCGTGTTGGTGTTAATTCTTGTGAAAGTTCAATAACTTGAAATTTTTCTATATAATGACGATGTTTAGCAAGGAACTCTGACCAAAAATTTAACAAGAACAATAAAATGTACTTAATACTGTCGGAATCGCTTTCTTACTCGACAACTATCAATACTATTAATCCAATGAATCAATTAATAATTGATAATCAATATATACTGTTGATGTATGTTTAAGTAAACGTTGAATAGGTCGTATTATGAAATGCAGCTAAATGTTGTTTACCCAAATCAGTTTTATGTTCAGGAATCTATTTGAAATTTTTTTTTTAATATCAAATACGAATAAATTATATGAAAATACAAAACAAAATTTATCGATTGTGTCTTTATGTTCATTACACCTTACACTTATGCTAAGATTTTGATTTTTTAATTACCGATCATCGATAAAACAAAAACTTTCAAAGATGGCAGCAACATTCGATCTAGTCATTCTTGGTATTGAAACTCATTTTCATTATCTCGTCACTCCTAGTCTCGTTTTTTTTTCAAAAAGAAATCGGAACTGCGTATCGAAGTATCGAACAAAAAGAAATAATCATGTACAAATATGAAGCTTTCTAATAACATTTGAACGAAAATCGTACGACTCTTCGATCTTTTGATCATCGCGACACAAAATAGCGAATTGAGTGGAAGACCAAGAAAGTTTAAAAAATTAAATATATAGAATGA